AGCGTCGGGAATCGTTCGTCATGGGAGCGACCAGATGCCCTCGCGGCAGCTCTTCGACTCGAGCCGATTTGATCGAGATCACCTCACCGGCTCCGAGAGGCGCGCGGCGCCGCGGGCGACACGGTGCTCACCGCGCAATGCACGAGGCCGTATGTGCGACCAAGCCCGGACAGCCCCCTCGGGAGGGACATTCCAGGGGGTGTTTCTTCGAAGTTGGTCGCACATACGGGACCTCAGCACTAATGCGAGCCCCTCGTCGGTCGCCCCCCACCGATAACCGCCGTTCTCGTCGTCCACGGGCTGCCCCGACGCGAACTAAGTTGCTCCCCATCGACCGATGGTCTTTCCCGAGCGACTCGCAGCCGGGCCCAAGGCGCGACATGGTCCACAGACCGAGCGCCGCGCCAAGTCCTGGAACCGCTGCATCGCGTGCCCAACCTGGGCGAGGCAGCTCGGAGTCAACCAAGTGATGTCACGCCGAGCGTCAACATGGCAGAGTATCGACTGCAACTCGCAACCAGTGGCACGATGGGCGCAGCGGCCTCGAGCGGGCAGCTCCCGGAGGTCGTCGACCTCGACGCGGTGAAGAGCGCCTACGCCCTCGAGGGCTACGACCTCGACGTGCCGCGCTGGCAGAAGATCGCCGAGCCCAAGGGCGGCACGCTGCCCCGCGCCGAGGCGCTGCGCTACGGGCCGCTGACCAAGGACGCTTTGCAGGACTTGATGCCCGCGGACGTCGCCTGGTCCCCGAAGCTCGACAAGCGCTTCGCGAACATGTCCTTCGGCCCCGAGGAGAAGGCGGCGATCACGCGCGCGGACGCCGGAGCGCTCCTCGCCAAGGCGACGGCCGAGTCCGCGGCCGAGCTCAAGGAGACCGCGAAGCCCAAGTTCCGCAGGGAGACGCGCGACCTCCTCGCGCACCTCAAGTACTTCATGGACCACCGCGCGCGGATGGACCAGCTCTTCGCCGAGGTGTCCCCCGAGGGCGCGATCCTCGAGCACGTCGCCTTCGACCTCGTCAAGAAGCCCGCGACGGGACACTGGGACCCGCTCCTCCGCCAGCAGCGGCCCGCGAAGCCCGGCCGCCCCGCGGACGGCGTCGTCGACACGCTCGCGGACGTCTACGAGGCCGCGTCGCTCGCGAAGAAGGTCTTCGACGCGAAATTGAAGAGCATGCGCGGCGCCGTCGGCCTCCCGGAGGACGCGCTCGTGCTCCCGCCGCTCAAGGGCGCGGCGAGAGCCGCGGAGAAGGCGGCGAACGACTACGGGAGCCGCGACCCGGGGCCGGGCTTCGCGTGGCTCATGGACATCGTCCGCGCGTCCGTCGTCGTCGACACCGAGGACCAGGTGCTGGCCATCCTGAACCACTTCCCGAAGCGCCGCGGCGCGCCGGCGGCGGACGCGGGGCCCGCGCTCCTCGGCGGGAACGCGGACGCGGACGGCGACGGCGACGACGACGGCGTCCCCGACGTCGAGATGATCCGCCTCAAGAACCGCTTCGCGACGCCCATGGCGAGCGGCTTTCGGGACATGAACATGCTGCTGCGCTGCAAGGTCCACACGGAGACCGACGCCTTCTTCTTCGTCTGCGAGCTGCAGATCCACCACGCGGGCCTGCGGAAAGCGGAGAAGGCGTCGAAAAGCCACGAGGTCTACGAGTTCTTCCGGACCTACTTCCGCGGCGGCGAGGAGGCGACGGTGCGGCGGCGCTTCCTGCTGCTGGAGAAGGTGGACCACGTCCTGCGCCAGCACGGCGAGGACTTTGGCGCGGCGATCAAGACCGTGCTCGCCGACGACGACGAGGACGCGACGGTCGCGTTCGCGGAGCTCGTGGGCCTCGGCGGCGACGCGGACACGGCGGCCGCGATCCTGCGCACGGACGCGCGGCGGCGCGTGACCGAGCTGCACGCCGCCGCGAAGCTCGCCGTCGACGGCGGCGCGCGCGTCGACGCGGCGCTCGAGGTCCGGGCCGCGGACGCGCTCGCGCGCTACGCGGCGGCCGCGGCGGAGACGAACCGCGGCGCCGCGGCCAAGGCCCTCCGGCGCTGCCTCCGGCTCCGGGAGAAGGCCCTCGGGCCCGCGAGCTCG